TTGTTTTCTTTTTCTGTGTGTTATGAGTTATTTGATTTTTAGTATTTCATTTTTATTTATCTATATGGTTTCTGAGTGTATGTTTTTAGTAGTTGCTTTATGTATTACATTTTATATACAAAACACAGTCTACCAATGTTGACATTTTACCAATCTGAATGAAATGTAGAAACCATGCCTTAATTTCTCTTTCCCCTTTTATAATATAATGCTCAAATATTCCCTCTATGTTCATTTAAATGCTCATCAGAGTGCTATAATTTTTGCTTCAATCATCAAATTTAATTTAAAATATTCAGTATCACAATAACCTATTGCACTTATATATGTTCACTGATACCACACTGGTGGTGAAAGATTTTTACCCTTTCCATTGTTCATTCTTTTTTTTTTTTTTTTTTTTTTGGATGTTTCCTTCTGTAATTTCTTGTTTAAGAGAGTTCTGTTAGCCCTTCTTTTAGAATAGGTTTATTGGCAATGATTCCCTTAGTTTTCCTTCATCTGAGAATGTCTTGATTTCTATGTCATTCCTAAGGAATATTTTCACTGGATATAGAACTTGGGGTTGAAATTTCTTTTCTTTTCACACTCTAAAATGATGTTACTTTTTCTTGGTCTCCATGCTCTCTGATGAGAAATCTGCTATTTCTAATTGTTGAATTGTTTTCCTCTGTATGTGGTAAGGTATTGTTTTCTCACTGCTTTTGAGATTTTTTCTTTGTCTTTAATATTCAGAATTTTGACTGCACTGTTTTGATGTGAATTTCTGTAAGTTCATTATGTTGTGGTTCTTTCGGCCCCTTGAGTCTGTAGGTTTATGTCTTTTGCCAAATATGGAAGTTTTCAGCCATTATTTCTTTAATTACTTTTTCTGCCTCACTTTACATTCTTCTGGGGGACTCCAGTATACACCAGGTTGCTGAAGTTCTGTCATTTTCTCTTTTTTTTTTTTGGTATATTTTTCTATGCTTTTAAGATTTTCCTTTTTCCCTGCCCATTCTGATGTTGTGTTCATCCACTGATATTTTTATTTTAATTAATATATATTTCAGTTCTAAATTTTTTCATTTATTTCTTTTTATATCTTCCATTGCTTTGCTGAAACTTTCTGCTTCTTTATTCAGTCTTTCCTTTTTTTCTTCATTTGTTTTAAGAATTTTTAAAATTACTCCTTGACACACTTTTATGATGGTTGCTTTATCACTGTAGGATAATTCTGTCATCATCTCAATGTTGGTGTCTACTGATTATCTTTGTCTTTCTTCATTCAAGTTGAGATTCTCTTCATTATTTTTGATGCATAATTGTCGATTGAAACCTGAACAATTTTATATTATGTTATGAAACTTTGGACTTATTTAAAACTTGTTTTTTTATCTGTCTTTGTATGATACTGCTCTGACAAGGAAAGAGGGTGTGGGAGAGCTCTGCATTGTTGCTTTGCATATCAAATAAAAGTCTAGGATCTTTCATTGGCCTTCACTAACATCCAATTAAGGGTGGGCAGCTCCTCATTACTGCTGGGCAGAGATGGGAATTCCAGCCAGGACAGCAAGAAATGCTTTTTATTGCTCCCCAGGCAGCTTCCACTGAGTCACTAAGGGAGGGGGCAGGGGTTGTGTTACTGCTGGATGGTGGTTAAAGTTCTTACTACACTAGGCCTCTTCTAATTCTATTCCAGCAGGAAATAAGTAGGTTTCCTCATTATTGTTGGGTGGGTGACTACGGAGAAAATGTCCAGGCTCCCCGCATTGTCTCTGGTGATGCCATAGAAAAGGAGAAGGGGACACTTCACCATCTAAGAAGGATAAAACTATTAGTATCATGCTCAACCTCTTCAGACACCACCATAGTGACAAGGTGTTAAGATGCCTCATGTTAGCCTGGTGAGAATGGAAATCTAGACTTCTAGTTTGGCCATTATAGACTTGGGTGAAGTTGAAGTATGTTCTGTGGTGTTTGGCTCAAGAAGAGTAATTATTGCCCTAAAATTTTTCATCCTCTTATGTTACTCCTTTCCTGGTCCTTTTGTTAAGGCGGCAGCTTTTTGTTTGTTTTGTCTTTTTGGTCTATGCAAATTTTCAAGTTGCTCCTTCCAGTCTGGGACATACGAGGCAAACTGAAAACCTAGGGAATTCACCATGTATTGTCCCTCAACTTGAAGTCCCTAGCCATTCTGCTTTTTTCTTTCCAATCTATCTGAATCTCATGGTTGTTTTGTATATAATGTTCAACACATTTTGTTGTACCTGGTGGGAGGAATAGGAAAAAGTACATGTGTTCCATCTTCCTAAAATCAAACTTCTTTAGATTCCTTTTTGCATCTTCTTGTTCCCTGAAATAAAATATATTATAGCCAGGAAGCCAGGAGAGCATAATCTTTGTACAGCAGCTTGATACTTTCTCATAGTCTGTTTGCTAAACTTGGATATCTTTGCTCCTATATGTAGACCAAAGATCAATATCCAAAGTAGAGAAGGAAAAGGAAACAATTTAAAATAACCTGTACTTTCTTTATTGTATATAAATATCACCCATTGACAACTTCTCTTACACTTCTGGGCAGCAGTCTTACTCCTTTTTGGTCTTCTGGTTTCTAATGTAATTTTAACATGTGCATACTGTTTCTAGCATTTTTAGAGGTTTGCATATTTTCAATCCTACATGCTACAATTTTTAATCTTAAAAAACAATTTCTCACTTTACACTATCATTTATTTAGTGCTATTATGTATTTTGCCAAGTGACATGTGTTTTGCCAGGTGACTATACTATTGTTAATCTTAAAATGATATGAATATAGGTTTTAGAGCTATTTATTCATAAAACATATTTTTTAAATATTTATTTGTTTGTTTGTTTGTTTATTTATTTATATTTATATGAGAGAGAGAGAACATGTGTGAACAAGGGGAAGGGCAGAGAGAGGAGAAAGAGAATCTCAGATTCTGCATTGAGCACAGAGCCCAAAGCAGGCAGGGCTCAACCTCACGACCCCCAGATCATGATCTAATCTGAAATCTTAAGTTGGACACTTAACCAACTGAGCCATCCAGGCTCCCCTCATAAAATGTATTTGTTCATAAAACATACTGACTACACAGAAAAATAAACAGACATGGTCCCAGACTTCATGAATTTTGCAATCTAATGAGAGAGGGAGAAAGAGATAAAAAAGTAAGCAAACAAAAATATACAGTAACTACATGTTGTGGTGAATGTTCCAAATGACTTTAAAACAGAGAAAAGTAGAGAATAACAGGGTAATGCAATTTAGAAATTTTGAGTCGTCAAGGAAGGCTACACTAGGGAGGTCATATTTAAGCTAAGCCTCAAAGGAACAAAAAGAAGTCAGCCCTACAAAGCATGAAATAGAGGGTGTTCTAGGCAAGAAAGGGCAAGAGAAAAAGAGTATATCACAAACTAATGCACAAGGTATAGTGAATGACCTCACTACATTCTGAAACTGCCTTCCAAGGACCATTTCCACTTTGGCTTCCTTCAACTTTTCAAGATGTTGTTTCTGCCTACCATCTGCTCAAGCAGAAGGTGGTCAAGCCTCTGGGATGTTGGCAGTGCCAGTTTTCCTGGTGCTCCAGAAGCCTCCGGTCACTAGCTGATTACCCATTCCATCCGAATTCAAAAATCTCAAAACAATAACATTTTCTAATCTATCCAATCTCCAAAGCACAAGCCACAAGGAAAGTAACAAAATGAAAAGGAATGTTTTGATGAAATAATTTTAGACTGTGGATGGAGAATGGAATGCCAGGGTTCCTGTGCTAATTCTGCCATGTGTTACATGTATAGGCAATTGCCTTCATGTGACAAATTATTCTTTTCTCCCTGGGAGGATAAAATCTTAGAGGTAGGAAGGACCTTAGAGATTCAGCAGTATAGCTCTCCTTGCACAACCAGGTATACACTAATTTTCAACCTCCATATCCACAGATCTACTACATCTCACAGCTGTTACACTCAGAAAACCTGCCTCATCTGAGTTCCCAGGAATTTAAACTAGAATAAATGCTAAGTGATCAGTTTACATGGGAATGTTGGTATATAGTATTTATAAACATAGTCTATACACATTTTTAAGACAAAAGTATAAAATAGTTGCACAAATGCTTTGATTTCCTCAGAAGAACAGCTATACATATGCAAGGTAATGATGTTAGAGAAGAAGCCAAGTACATATAGTTTTTCTTCCTCGATGTATATTCCTACCTCTGCTAAAGGCAAAGATAGTTAACTAGTAATTGCCTCAGGAAAATGAGACACAGAGAGCATTTTCTCTTTTCAGATAATGCTGAGCATTTTTTCCAGAGACGAATAAGACTTGACAAGAGGGAAAAGTATGGAAAAGATTTGTTTTTAGGTGATCCAAACACCAACTGTTAGCCTCAAAGGAAAATAATATGCAAGACAGAAATAAAAATGAATGATGACTTAATCAGGACATTATTAGAAAGGGCATGGAGAATTTTAACTATACCACTTAAAAGTTGTTCTACTTTCCAAAATCAAGGCATAATCTATGGCCAAAGATGAATCTAGCAAGAATTCAGATCAACTTTATTTTTCTGAGATCTTAAAATTTTTTTCTACTTTAGCCATAAGTAATTTACATAAATATAGTTTGACTCCAGTGACATCCTCCACCTTATCCATTGCCCAGTGAGATTATTTGACCTGACAATATCCACTGTACCTCTTCCAGGATGAACATCTTCCAAAGCATCTTCTGTAAGTCCCATTAGAGATTCAAGATATGTCTCAGAAAAAAAGATTCCATGTGAAGTTAAATTAAGAAACTAAAGCTAAATGAAGCTACATGCATCTTCTTCAAAGATTTTAGCAAAATAAACTGGATTTCCCATGTCCATTTGAGCAAAGAACACCTCTATGCATCAAGAGAGAGAGTCTAGTGTTCCTTAAAACATAACTTGGGAACAAAACCTGTGGCACTCTAATCAAGCTGCGCTGTCCATCCACAATTCATACTTGTGTCAGCGGCATATATATTAAAATTGGAGAGATTCAGAGAAGATTAGCATGGTGCCTGCCCAAGAATGACATGTAAACCACAATTCATGGAATCCCTGTGTGAAACCAAAAATTATTTCTCCTTTAATGCTACAAAAATGTTCCATGGGCTATCAATCTGATATCATTTGCCACTTAAGATGCATCAGCTTTATGGTCTTAGAACTCTCAAAAGAAAGGATATTTTTCCTTTATTCTCCTAATCTACTTCAATGCTTGTATCCTACAATGTGATTATCTAATCTAGCTTTGTAGCCCAGAGTAAGCACAAGGGAATTTACCTTCGATATTCTCACCTTTGTTTTGTTGTTGTTTTTTGTCTTTTATATTATGTATCTTTTGCTAGTTATAATTAACAAATTCTTCCTCATTATAGAAATTTAACCAAAATATAAGAAAACTAAGATCATATGATTTGATATTGTACTAATCACTTAGCAAAAGTATCCTAAAGTTTATGTTGAGTAATAAATACTTAAGAATAACCAAGAACTTCATGAAACAGAATAATAGGGGTAAAAGTAGTATAGGAATTTGCCTTACCATATATCAAAATATACTAAAAATTCACTTTAATATGATCAGTGTGATAGTGCATAGGAGCAGAAAAATAGATTATGGGAACCAAAGAAAGAAATCCAAAAATAAATCCAAGAAAATATAATTATTTAACATGTTACAAAAGGGCATTTGAATTCAATGGGTAAAGATGATATACTTTAAAAGAATATGTGAACAAAGTCATATTTTTAAAAGAAAACAAAATTATATCCCTTCCTCACACCATATACAAAAATAAATCACAAATGGACTATAAACTTAAATTTATTTTTTAATGAAATAATATACTGTTAGAAAATCTAGGAGATTACATGTTAAAAATCTAAAGAAGAGAAGACATTCTAAACCAAACAAGAAACCTAAGCCTATGAATAAATAAATTTAAAATATGTAAGCTTTTGTATGCCAAAATACATAATAAAAATAAATGAAAAAATAATGCAGATGATAAACTAAGTACTTTTGTTTGAAATACACAGGGATTGTTTTAAAAAAAACAAGAAAAATACAAACAACCCTATAGAAAAGTTGGCAAAAAGTAGGCAAAGACAATTCAAAGCATAGAAACTTTTAATGACAAAATTAATACTAATTAGGTAAATTCACCTTCACATAACCATTAAATAAAACTTTATACCACTAAGATTAGCAAATTTTTTTGAAACAGTATGTTACTGGCAAAGATAGGAGATGAAAACATAAATTGTTACCGTCTTTGTAAAACGTAGAAAGAAATCTGGCAAGAGCAATTAAACGTAAACATACACCTGATCCCACCCCAAAAGTAACTATACTCATACCATTTGACACTGAGTTCCTGCTTTTGGTCATATTTCCTATTGAAAAAAAATCCTCAGTTAATATGAACATATGTATATAGATTATTAATATGAAATTATTTGCAATGGCAAAAGATACAAATGAGTTTTTCTTTCACTGGGAAGGAGAAAGATGGAAAAAGAAGAGGATTAAGAGGACACTTACCTTGATGAGCGTTGAGTAACATAAAATTGTCGAATCATGATGTTGGACACCTAATACTAATATAACACTATATGTTAATTATACTTGAATAAAAAATTTTAATTAATTTTTTAAAAAGCATGGATCCTATGAACAATGAAGAAAATCTGGATCAACTAAAAATCATACCTTTTCTTGACACCATTAAAGAAGCTGGAATAGCCAGAGATGGACAGGTCCCTCCCAGGGGAAGGCAAAATAGATTGATTTGCTTGTGACAGAACACAGGGAAAGAAAGGAGCTGGCTATTCAAGCTACTCCCATGGGTTCATTTGGGTCTTTTTCACAGAAACTTATCAGACAGTCACCAAAAAATACTGGTGACAGGACAGGGGAACAGAACAAGCCCCCACACACACACCTGCTTTGTAGTGTAGATATGCAAGAGGGGATGAGGACCCACTGTGGAAAAGGCATAGAGCCATAGAGCCTCATCATCCCTAATCCCCCATCATAGACATTTATCTCATTCAAACCAAAGCCTTAAGTTTCCAAAAAAAAAAAAAGGTTTTTAAAATGCTGTTACCTGCAGGGTACACATCAAGACCCATGATAGTTCATGAAAGGATAGAAGATAAAACAGAACATTCCACTACTGATGGAAAATAATAATAATAATAATAATAATAACATTGGATCCTAGACTCATTATTAATGCCATTAAAGGTTACTTACCACTGGAAAGTAAATCAGAAAATCTCTTCTATACAAGATTTTCCACAGATACAACGCTTTGGTTGCCATGGAGAGGAGACTCCAGAAGGCCAAGAAAATCACACGCTAAGACCCAGGCATGCTGGTCCAGTCTAAGGGGCTAGATCAGAATCACCAAGACTAGCTTGGCAACGCGCTAAGAAGAAAGAACCGTGGTTTAGCAGTGGGGGAGGAGGGGGGCACTTAGAGACAGACCTTCCTGTGTGTAGGTGTTGGTAGGCTCAAAGGTGAGAGTAGAACACAAACACCAATAAAAGCCTTCTGTCACCACAGCTACCGTCCTAAGGCCAAGGCAACAATAGATGAACACTTGAGGACTTTTTTGGTAACAGCTTAATTGAAATACAGCTCACACACATACAACTAATCACTTAAAGTGTATAGTTTAATTATTTTTAGTACCTTTACAGTTTTGTGCAGCCATCACCACAATTTTAGAACATTTTTATCTCCCCCAAAAGAAACTCCACACTATTTAGACAGCCCCATCTCATCCATCTCAGTGACCCCTCCTCAACCAACCAGCTCTAAGACAAACACTAATTTACTTGTTGCTTCTATGAATTTGCCTATTCTGGATATATTCTGCATAAATTAAATCATATAATTTGATTATTAATTGTGGCCTTTTGAGACTAACTTCTTTCACTCAGCGTTTTTTAAAGGTTCATCTATGTCACAGCATCTTCATTACTATATGGCCAATATATATTCCATATTTTGTGTATCATTTCATCAGTTGGTGAACATAGGAGTTATTCTTTTAGCCAGTCATGAATAATGCTGCTATGAATGCTCACATACATTTTTTTAAGGATTTTATTTATTTATTTGAGAGAGACAGAGAAAGAGTACAAGCAGTAGGGAGAGGGAGAAGCAGACTCCCCGCTGAGCAGGGAAGCTGATGTGGGGCTCAATTCCAGGACCCTGGGATCATGTCTTGAGCTGAAGGCAGATATTTAATGGACTGAGCCACCCAGGCGCCCCTCACATACAATTTTTGTGTAGATATTGTTGTTTTATGGGATATATATACTTAGGAGTAGAATTGCTGGGTTATACGGTAATTATACATTCCATTTATTGAGGAACTACCAAACTATTTTCTAAAGTACCTGTATTATATCCATTCTCAGCAGCAGTGTATGGGGTTTTGATTTACCTAACACCTTGCCAAAACATATTATCAGTCTTTTAAATTGCATCCATTCTAGTTGGTGGGAAATGGTATCTCATTGTAGTTTGGATTTGCACTGTCCCAGTGACTAATGATGTTGCACATCTTTACATATATTTATTGTCCATTTATATGTCTTCATTGGGAAAATTATTATATAAATCATTTGCCCATTTTAATTGAGTTATTAGTCTTTTTACTATTGAGTTATATGAATATTTTCTGTTTTATATGTAACTGTTACTTTATGTTTTATACATAATTCTGATATATAATTTGTAAACATTTTCTCCTGTTGTGTGGATTATCTTTCACTTTTTTCCCCAGCTTTATTCAGATACAGTTTACATGTATATATTGTGAAATGTTTACCCCAATAAAGTTAGTTAACACATCCTTCACCATATATAATTACAATTTTATTGTTGTTGGTACTATAGTTAGAATACTACAACTCTACTTACATAGAAACTTACAAATATATAGTTGATGCTTCCAGTACTCTGTTGAATAGGCATGGGAAAAGTGGGCACACTTGTCTTGTTCCTTAACTTAGAGGGAAATCTTTCATCCTTTTATTTTTGAATATGATATGGGTTTTGGTATGGGGTATGGATTTGTCATATATGAGCTTTATTGTGTTGAGATATGTTCCTTCTATATACAACTTATTGAGCATCTTCATAATGAATGGATTTTTTTATTTTGTCAAATGTTTTTTCTGCATCTGTTGAGACGGTCATATGATTTTTGGTCTTTCATCCTATTAATGTGGTGTATCATGTATATTGATTTGCGTTTTTTGAACCATCCTTCCATTCCAGGGATAAATCTTGCTTGATCATGGTATATATGATCATTTTAATGTGGTATTAAATTGGGTTCCATAGAATTTATTTCAGAACTTTTGCATCTGTATTTATCAAGAATATTGACCTGTAGTTTTCTTTTAATATAGTATACTTACTTGCCTTTTGTATCAGGGTAATGCTGGTCTCACAAAATAAGTTAGGTATTCCCTCCTCCCCAATTGTTTTGAAGTTTCAGAAGAATCGGTCATAGTTATTTAAATGTTTGGTAGAATTCACCAGTAAAACCTTATGTCACTGGGCTTCTTTGTTGTTTTTGTAAGACATTTGATTAATGGTTAAGTCTCCTTACTTTTAATTGGTCCATTCAGATTTTCTGTTTCTTCATGATTCAGACCTGGTAAATTGTATGTTTTTCTAAATCTATCCATTTCTTCTAGGTTGTCCAATTTTTTGGTATATAAATATTTATAGTAATCTCCTATGGTCCTTTGTATTTACGTGTAATCTGTCTCTTCATTCACTTATTTTGTTTATTTAAGTCCTCTATTTTTTCCCCTTGGTAAGTGTAGGTAAGGTTTGTCAATTTTGCTTATCTTTTCAAAAAACAAATTCTTTGTTTATCTTTTTTAAAAAAGATTTTATTTATTTATTCATAAGAGACACAGAGACAGGTAGAGACACAGGCAGAGGAAGAAGCAGCTCCTTCTAGGGAGCTTGATACAGGATTCAATCCCAGATCACGACCTAAACCAAAGGCAGATGCTCAACCAGTGAG